CATATTTCTGCTCCTGCATGAAAACAAAACAAAATGTATTTTGTTTGGAACTTAAATACGGCCAAAATTTTGTTCAAGAATTTGACTCCTTAGACCCATGGTAAAGACTTTGGGTGTGATGTTTGACAATTGTATAAAATCTGACAAACAGATTAATTGACTTGTTCGAAACAGCTTTTTTCAACTCTGACTTCTGGCTAAGGCTAAACTCTTCCTGAGTTGAAAGGACCTTGAAAAGGCAATGCATGCTTTTATCTGTTCTCCCATTGATTGTTGTAATGCACTTCATGAATAAACCAGGGTTCCCTCTATTAGCTGTAATTGGTCCAGAATGCTGCAGCTCATCTGTTGACCAACACTAGGAGGCAAGATCACATCACGCCTGTACTTTACTACCTTCATTGGCTCTCAATTGGTTTTAGGGTTGATTTTATACTTTTAATGTTTGTTTTTAAAACTGATCATGGTATTGCACCCTCTTATTTGTGTGATCTTTTACAAGCACATTGTCCAGTCAGAGCACTTCGGTCTGCAGACCAACATCTTTCAGAAGTACTCATCAAAGTCCAATCTGTGACGCAACTGTAGCTGGTCCAAAATTATGGAGTTTATTACCTTTTGAGTTGAGCGTAATCAAGGGTGTAACTTTAGGTCTACCAGTGGGGGGGCTCTAAAACCCTGCATGAAAACAAAACTGGAATTTAATTAGTAATTAGTAATTATGCTTAAATGTACATATGAGAATTTGTAAATGTTTAAATCAAGTTACATTTAACTAAGGACGATGAGAGTTGCATCTGTCTTCTTAACCAGTTAATTTCCATTGTGTTTGAGCAAATGTCATTTTATTGGTGGTGGTGGTGATGGGGGTGAATTTTAAAGCACACACTGTACAATGTAACCAGTTTAAAAATAAATATAAAACTATTTTACTTACATTGTACAGAAGAGAAGGTATTTAACATAAAAATGATGTTTTTGTTCCTTCCATTCTTCTGTATTAGGTTACTATTATCATTATTGATATTGGTTATTATTATCTTAATGTCATTAAAATCATTAGTTAGTTGTTGTTTCTTTTTTTTTCCTCAGTGGTCGTTAACGGTTGTCATCAGTATTATTTTTGGTTATTATTAATATGAAATCATATATCTTCCTGTTTCCTATGTTATGAGAGTGAGTTTGTAATCATTTTGTCTGTGTAGTAAATTGTTTGTTGGTACAGTATGTTGGAACAGGCAAGAATACCAAAACATGGTTTCAATTGCACATTTGTAAATCAGTGCATCTGTAAGTGAAACATTTCATCAAACTGAGATAAGGTGTAGGATTAAATAAGTGTTCACTTATTTACTTTCAAACAGAAAAGTTTTGGTATTTGGGTTCTTGGTTATGTGTGCATTTTTTTGTTCTACTGATTGCTTGTTTTTTATTTTTAATCAAATTGAGATAAGGGATAGGATTAAATACTG